TCCCTATGAGGCAACGAACCGTGCTAGGGGTGTGCCAGCCGAGCCTCGAGCTCCCACTGCACGCAGCGCCGCCTACCAGACCTCCGCGGTCCAGATCTAGAGCTCCGAGTGGCTGAATTCGGGGGGGAGCGAGGACGAGACAGGCAGAGGAGAGAGAAGGCAAGCCAAGCCCAGCAGGGCTAGCCGGCTTGTGAATATCTTCTTCGGTGAAGCTCCCTACGGGGCGAAACGCTGCACTGGGTGGGGGGGAACGCTGTGCTGGGTGGGTGGTGTGCCAACTTGTATTTCCGGGACGCATGCGGACGGTTCCACTGGGCCCTTCGGCGGAGCTCCCTGGCCCACGACACGCTGTACTGGGTGGGTGAAAATGCCAAATTGGGTTTCCAGGACGCACGCGGACGGTCCCACTGGGGGCTTCGGTGGGGCTCCTTATGGGGCCACGAAACGCTGTACCGGGTGGGTGAAAATGCCAAATTGGGTTTCCGGGACGCAAGCGGACGGTCCCACTGGGGGCTTCGGTGGGGCGCCCTATGGGGCCACGAAGCGCTGTACTGGGTGGGCGAAACGCAAGGAGGAGGGGGAGGAGGGCCACAAATGGAGCTCCCTATGAAGCCCCGAAGCGCTGTACTGGGTGGATGAAACGCAGGGAGAAGGGGGAGGAGGGCCACGAAACGCTGTGTTGGGTGGGGGGACGCATGCGGACGGTAGACCTGGAACCTTCGGTGGAGTTCCCTATGGGGCCACCAAGCGCTGTACTGGGTAGGTGAAACGCAAGGAGGAGGGGGAGGAGGGCCACGAATGGAGCTCCCTATGGGGCCACGAAGCGCTGTACTGGGTGTATGAAACGCAGGGAGAAGGGGGAGGAGGGCCACGAAACGCTGTGCTGGGTGGGGGGGACGCATGCGGACGGTAGACCTGGAACCTTCGGTGGAGCTACCTATGGGGCCACGAAACGGTGTACTGGGTGGGTGAAACGCAAGGAGGAAACGGAGGAAGGAGGAGGGAGGAGGGGAGGAGGAGACGGGCCACGAAACGCTGTGTTGGGTGGGGGGACGCATGCGGACGGTAGACCTGGAACCTTCGGTGGAGCTCCCTATGGGGCCACGAAACGCTGTACTGGGTGGGTGAAACGCAGGGAGGGGGGGAGGGCCACGAAACGCTGTACTGGGTGGGGGGGACGCATGCGGACGGTAGACCTGGAACCTTTAGTGGAGCTCCCTAGGTGGCCACGAAACGGTATAATGGGTGGGTGAAACGCAGGGAGCAGGAGGAGGAGGGCCACGAAACGCTGTGTTGGGTGGGGGGACGCATGCGGACGGTAAACCTGGAACCTTCGGTGGAGTTCCCTATGGGGCCACCAAGAGCTGTACTGGTAGGTGAAACGCAAGGAGGAGGGGGAGGAGGGCTACGAAACGCTGTACTGGGTCGGGGGGACGCATGCGGATGGTAGACCTGGAACCTTCGGTGGAGCTCCCAATGGGACCACGAAGCGCTGTACTGGGTGGGTGAAACGCAGGGAGGAGGGGGAGGAGGGCCACGAAACGCTGTACTGGGTGGGGGGGGGGGGACGCATGCGGACGGTAGACCTGGAACCTTTGGTGGAGCTCCCTATGGGGCCACGAAGCGGTGTACTGGGTGGGTGAAACGCAAGGAGGAGGGGGAGACGGGCCACGAAACGAAGTACTGGGTGGGGGGACGCATGCGGACGGTAGACCTGGAACCTTCGGTGGAGCCCCCTATGGGGCCACGATGGGGCCACGAAATTGTGCACTGGGTGGGTGAAGCGCAGGGAGGAGGGGGAGGAGGGCCACGAAACGCTTTGTTGGGTGGGGGGGACGCATGCGGACGGTAGACCTGTAACCTTCGGTGGAGCTCCCTATGGGGTCACGAAACGGTGTACCGGGTGGGTGAAACGCAAAGAGGAAACGGAGGAAGGAGGAGGGAGGAGGGGGCAGAGGAGGAGGAGAAGGAACGCGGGGACCGTCTCTTCAAAACGAGGACCCAACAACACAGGTTGGTTGAAAAAAAATGTGATCTAACGCAGCCCCACCGACGAAACTACTCTGTAAGGCTACACCGCATGAGCACCTGGTGTAAGGCCACCAGAAAGGGAACGCATGCCATAAAGCCGCCACAACATGAAGTACCTTTGCGAGTCTGCACGGAAGAGATCCCTGTGTACGGCCGTTGCAGAAATACTTTCTTGGTAAGACAGCCTCAAAAGCAAATGTTGCTAAAGAACGCTGCGCGGATCATTCCGGTGCAATGCCGCCACATGTGCATCCTTCTGCAAGGCCACCACACAAACAAAGCAGTTGTACACACGTTGAGCAAACGCGTGTTTTTCAAACACCGTCTTGGCAGGACTTCGTTATGCTCGGGCGTCTGATCAAAGTATGTTTTGCAAGGCCACAGCGCAAGGATATGTTTTGCAAGGCCACCACACATGATTTTGCAAGGTCGCCACAAAAGGGGATCATGCTGCGAGGCCGCCACACACAGACGTCTGTTGCACGACCGCCACACAAAAACATACGTATGTATTGTTTCCGTTGTGTTCCGCGCCCGCTTTGATGTGTCGAAATTCCTCTGGGTCGGGCTCCGGCACGCACTCATTGCGTTCTGTCATATATCCTTCTTCTCACTCACTATCCTCGTCCTCATCGTCTTCGCCCTCCTCTGCCAGTCCCCTGTGCTTTCCGTGATCTCCTCCCGTCCCGTGTTCTCGTTCCTTTCTCGTATTTCAGACGTCACATTCCACATGTATGTCTTATCCTGCTCCCCCATCCTCCTCCTTCGCATATAGATCTACATCGCCATCGTCGTGCTCCACGTCCTCCTCTCCCGTTTCATGATTCTCAGTGGGTTCTTCCCACCTCTTCCTCCTCCTACCCGTCCTCCTCGTCCGCGTCCTCGGGTGAAGAGGGGGGGCGGGTTGCCACTGAACGAATATTCCTGCACCTCGCCAACATCCTCCACCTCCTCCTCCTCCTCCTCCCCCCCCTGCCCCACCCGCCCCGTCGCCCCCGCCCCCAGCCCAATGAAGGCGGATGCGCGATGATGGTGAAGGGGCGGCGGGGGATGGCATGGATCGAGGATGGCGATGATAAGAGCAAGATAAAATATGCGAAGTCGCGCTCCCCCCCCCTCCCCATTCGTCCTCCGGCCAAGGCAGTGTGGGCGGGGGAGTAGGAACGGACATGGAGACGGGAGGTGGGGAGAAGAGAACGTGAGGGCCACAAAAGGAAGACAAGCGAGAGGAAACCAAGGAAGAGAAGGGAGGGGGGATCATGACAGCGGCGGGGGAAGGGATTAGGACGGAAGTGACCCTTGCTCTCTTTCTGTCCTCCTTGTTGCCCGTATTCCTCCCCGTTGCGTCTCTCACCGTCCGTCTGGTGACGGTGAGGTATGTGGAGGCGGGAGAAACGGGGGCATCGTGCGCCTCATCCACTGCGCGCCACCTCGGATTTCGCATTCATCCTTCAACACATCCTCCATGCCATCATCGGCCCTGCTCTCCGAATTCTTCCTTCCTATCCCCATCCCCATCCCCATCCCCATCCCCATCCCCATCCCCATCCCCATCATCATCATCATCATCATCATCATCATCATCATCATCATCATCATCATCATCATCATCATCATCATCATCATCATCATCATCATCATCATCATCATCATCACCGTCATAATCATCATCATCATCAGCAGCAGCAGCATCAGCATTATCATTAGCATCATCATCCATAACAGCGTCGCTACCACCATTACCATCGTCATTGTCTCTGGCCTCCTCCTTCCTACTCGCGCTGGCCCCGATACGATCGCAAATTCACCCGTCCCTTCCCCGAAGAGGAGATTTGTCGATGACGTGGAAGGAAGAAGCCGGCGCCACTTCGGATCCTTCATTTTGCGCATTCACAACTTGATGAAATCTACGATGTTCCTGATTCCTCCCTCTTCATCACCATCTTATCCTCACAAATGACTGTCTTCGCCACCATCCCCTATCATCGCCGTCGTCCCCCCCATTCTCTTCCTCGCGTTCGCCCTCCTTTCCATTCCTTCCACGACGAGAAATAGGTGTGCTGATGGTGTGTGGGGGGGGGGAAGGATGGCCAGAGATGCGCTTGGAGGGAGTATCCTCCTCCTCTTCCTTCTCCTCCTCCTCATCCTACAAATTCTTTTAAACACTGCATGCCAGGTCCTTCTCCGATGACGATATTTGACGATGGTGGAGGAACATGATGAGGAGGGCGGGGTGCTGGAGGAAGGAAGAAGGCATGCATGCGCGTTGACACTTTGTTGGCGTCGGCGTGACTCACTCATCACATGCATCTCACCGTGCCGCAGTCAGAATCACATGTATGTCCTGTCTTCTATCTTACATACATTAAAACCGCGATGGTCGCCAGATTAAGCCCCGCCTCGGTGGCGTTCGCTTGAGCTACGAACGATTATTGCCAGTGCACTGCTCGATTGCTCTGCCGTCACTTTCAGATGTGTGTAACATTTCTTGCCGTCGGCGCGTTCCATACCTCTGATGGATGTCTATACATCGCATCAGTGCGTCCACATCGTCAGCGGAAGAAAATCACACGCGTTGGTCGCGAAATCCATTGCAAACTCTAGAATTTCATGTGACTTGTTTAAAACTTCCACGTGGGGTGTGTGGTGGGGGGGTGGGGGGGCAGACCCTGGATCGTACGCACCGATCCTGAACCCCAGATGGGCCCAACCAGGATCGGATACATGTGCATGTGGCGGGTTCCGGAAACCCTGAACAAAACAACTTGCCATCTCTTGACAGGAAAATTGCTGCTTTCGCCGCCTTCCGCCGAGCTTCGTCTGGCGGAGCCGCCCTCTGTTCTGCTTCCGCCGCCTTCCGCTGAGCCTCCGCCGCCTTCCGCCGAGGAAGGGGTGCCAACCCCTTCGATCTTCGAAGGCGAGTCCCTTTCTGAACCTATCATGTGTCTACTCTTCTCCTCGCCGTGCTCCTGCTCCCAGAGCTCGCGGCAGTAGGAGTCGCCGCCCTCGCGCATCGCCCGCGCGCACGCGCGCAGCCGCTCCCGCAGGCGCGGCTGCACGCCCGGGTCCGCGAGGGACCGCTGGAGCCGGTCGACGACGTCCTCGTAGAGCTCGTCCAGCTCCTCCAGGCGGCGCGCCGGGCGTGGAATTAGGAGGAGGAGGAGGGGGAGGAAAGGAAGGAGCATGAAGAGGATCACGGATCCGCTGGCGCAGCCAATCCAGATGACTGAAAGCAGAGCTCTTGCCGCGCGCGGCGCCCAGGCGCGGGCGGCGCCGTGAAGTAGTGTATGTCTGAGGGGCCAGCACTAGCTCGAGGCCAGAAACGTACCACACTCGACGCCCACACTCGCCGAACACACTCGCGCCAACACTCCATGCCGACACTCGCACTCCGCACTCGCCTCTCAAACTCGCGCCCACACTCTACGCCCACAGTCTACGCACGCTCTCGCACCCCACACTGCACGCCCACACTCGAACCTCACACTCACACCCCACACTCTACGCCCCCCCCCCGCCCCCCCCCCCCCCACCCCACACACACACACACACACACACACACACACACACACACACACACACACACACACACACACACACACACACACACACACACACACACACACACACACACACACACACTCTACGCACACAGTCTACGCACACACTCGCACCCCACACTCACACCCCACGCCAAACACCGAGTTGATTTACCGATTTGATTAGACGAGTTGATTTCCCGAGTTGCTTTGCTAAGTTGATTTACCGAGTTGATTTGCCGACCTGATTTCCCGAGTTTTTTGCCGAGTTGGTTTCCCGAGTTGGCTTAAAGACTTGCCGAGTTGATTTAGAGAGTTGATTTGTCGAGTTGGTTTACAGAGTTGATTTACACAGTTGATTTACAGAGATGATTCGCCGAGTTGATTCTCGAGTTGATGTGTGGAGTTGGTTTGCACGGAGCGCTGAGATGGCGAGTTGAATTGGCGTTGATTTCTTGGGCTTTGACTTACCATTCCAACTGTGAAGTGCGAGTTGATTCCCCGAATTGATTTCCCGAATTGATTTCCCAGGTTGATTTCCCGAGTTGGTTTGCCGAGTTGATTTCCCGGGTTGATTTGCTGGGATGATTTATAGAGTTGATCTAGAGAGTTGATTTCGCGGGGCGGCCTGCCGAGTTGAGTTCGCAAGTTGATGTGCCAAGTTGATTTGCCGCCTTGGTTTCCCAATTGGAGGTGCCGAAGGATTTGGCGAGTTGGTTGTCCGAGCTGATTCCTCGAGTGCGAAGAGCGAATTGACCATGGGGTGGGCGTCCCCGACGTAGTGCGCCGAGTTGACCCGCGTCTCGCCTTCGTGTCGTGTGGGCGCAAAGCGTGGGGGGTGAGTGTGGGCGCGAGTGCGGGGTGCGAGTATGAAGTGCGAGTGTGGGCGCACAGTGCGGGGGGTGACTGCGGTGTGCGAGTGCGAAGTGCGAGTATGCAATGCGAGTTTTTTCCCAACCATCCTGTGGTGTTGGGTCCTCGTTTTGAAGAGACGGCGCCCCGCGTTCCCACCTCCTCCTCCCTCCTCCTCCCCCTCCCCCCTCCTCCCTCCTCCCTCCTCCCTCCTCCCCCTCCTCTCTCCTCCCCCTCCTTGCCTTTGCTCTCGGCACACCTCTCACACGTTTCGTAGCCCCATAGGGAGCTCCACCGAAGGTCCCAGTGGGGGGGGGGCGCATGCGTCCGCCATAGGGGCCAGAAATTATTATCTTTCACTGGTCGGCCTGTAGATTTCGGTTCACTGGCCCCCATGCCCACATGATCGCTGATCGCGATGAGGCCGACATCTTCGCGACGCGACGCCAATTGTGCGAATCGATCGAGCTTGCGATTTGAAGGAGCGCCCAGCACTGCGTCGCACGACAATTGGACACCATGTCCCGCCGCCTGCAGGAAACCCTTCAGGCGCCAATGGCGCTCTCTGGGCGGCCGGGGATCGCGGGGGGTTCCACGTCGGCCTGAACGCGCCGAGAAACGACCCCGGGCGTCTGGTGAAACCCAGATCCCCAATCCGTCGCCGAGACGTCTCCACGAGCTTCCACATCGACGCAAGTGGGCCCAATAGCTCCACGGGGGCCTCGGGATAGCCAGTAGGAGAACCCGAGGAAGAGCGCTGGGTGTGGCGCGCCACACCCAGCACAGCGCTTCGTGGCCCCATAGGGAGCTCCACCGAACGTCCCAGTGGGGGGGGCGCATGCGTCCGCCACACCCAGCACGGCGTTTCGTGGCCCCATAGGGAGCTCCACCGAAGGCCCCAGTGGAGGGGTGCGCATGCGTCCGCCACACCCAGCACGGCGCTTCGCGGCCCCATAGGGAGCTCCACCGAAGGCCCCAGTGGAGGGGCGCGCATGCGTCCGCCACACCTTGCACGGCGTTTCGTGGCCCCATAGGGAGCCCCACCGAAGGTCCCAGCGGGGGGGGGGGCGCATGCGTCCGCCACACCCAGCACGGCGCTTCGTGGCCCCATAGGGAGCTCCACCGAAGGTCCCAGTGGGGTGGGGGGGGGGCGCATGCGTCCGCCACACCTTACACGGCGTTTCGTGGCCCCATAGGGAGCTCCACCGAAGGCCGCAGTGGGGGGGGGGGCGCATGCGTCCGCCACACCCAGCACAGCGTTTCGTGGCCCCATAGGGAGCTCCACCGAAGGCCCCAGTGGGGGGGGGGGGCGCATGCGTCCGCCACACCCAGCACAGCGCTTCGTGGCCCCATACGGGGCTCCCCCGAAAGCGATACCCACAACTGCATATGGTTGGGTCCTTCGCCAGGCTAATTTTCCCAACCATCCTGTGGTGTTGGGTCCTCGTTTTGAAGAGACGGTGCCCCGCGTCTCCCCTCCGAAGCAGAATCGCAAACGAGCTGACCCTGAGAAGCACAGGTTTCTCTCTGAAGCTGATGATCTAGGGTCAGCAAAGCAGGCTGACTGTGAAGCCGACGAGGAGCAACTTTACATCGATATGCAAGCCGAAGCTCTAGCTTCTGCACAAGACTGCCATTTTGGCCCGTCACTCTCCCCTCCTCCTTTCCCGTCTCCTCCGACGTCGTCGACGCCGTCTCTGATCCCCCCTCCGCCTCCTCCTCTAGTCTTGAGCGAGGCTCAACTAGCCCGCATCGGGACCAACCGCGAGGCAGCCAGAGCTAGGCGCGCAGAGCGCGCCAGACTAGCGCAAGCACTCAGAGCTCCGTGGAGCGCTGGAGGCACGCTCAGCGGCACTTTCTTCGGGGAGCCCAATGGGGTAAGGGGCCCAGATCTTTTCAAATTAGGTGGTTAGGCCGGTGGTGGCGTAAGTGGCGGATCCTCGTGAGGTCCCATACGCCACCCACCGGTTTTCACTCTCAGGGCGAGCACGCAAGACAGCGAAGCCGAGCGTCGCATCATCACCTCCCTCCTCCCCCTCCTCCCTCCTCCCCCTCCTTGCCTTTGCTCTCGGCACACCTCTCACACGCTTCGTAGCCCCATAGGGAGCTCCACCGAATGTCCCAGTGGCACAGCCCGCATGCGTCCGCCACACCCAGCACAGCGCTTCGTGGCCCCATAGGGAGCTCCACCGAAGGCCCCAGTGGGGGGGGCGCATGCGTCCGCCGCACACAGCACAGCGCTTCGTGGCCGCATAGGGAGCTCCACCGAAGGTCCCAGTGTGGGTGGGGGTGGGGGGGGCGCATGCGTCCGCCACACCCAGCACGGCGCTTCGTGGCCCCATAGGGAGCCCCACCGAAGGCCCCAGTGGAGGGGGGCGCATGCGTCCGCCACACCCAGCACGGCGTTTCGTGGCCCCATCGGGAGCTCCACCGAAGGCTCCCGTAATGGGGGGGGGGGGGGGGGCGCATGCGTCCGCCACACCCAGCACAGCGCTTCGTGGCCCCATAGGGAGCTCATCCGAAGGTCCCAGTGGAGGGGGACGCATGCGTCCGCCACACCCAGCACAGCGTTTCGTGGCCCCATAGGGAGCTCCACCGAAGGCCCCAGTGGGGGGGGGGCGCATGCGTCCGCCACACCCAGCACAGTGTTTCGTGGCCCCATATAGAGTTCCACCGAAGGTCCCAGTGGGGGGGGCGCATGCGTCCACCACATCCAGCACGGCGCTTCGTGGCCCCATAGGGAGCTCCACCGATCGCATGCGTCCGCTCCACCGAAGGCCCCAGTGGGGGGGGCGCATGCGTCCGCCACACCCAGCACAGCGCTTCGTGGCCCCATGGGGAGCCCCACCGAAGGTCCCAGCGGGGGGGGGGGCGCATGCGTCCGCCACACCCAGCACAGCGTTTCGTGGCCCCATAGGGAGCTCCACCGAATGCGTTGCTCATCAAGACGGTACTCACAACTGCATATGGTTGGGTCCTTCGCCAGGCTAATTTTTTCCAGCAGACGCAGGCCGTCGGGGGCGGAGCAGGCGGGAGTGGTATCGCCGAAGTGCGAATTAACAGAAAGCGCAAGGACAATCCAAGAGTGAGATCAACGCTTCTACAGCAGCCAAATGGACAAGGAGAAGAAAAAAACTGAGACAATGCAACAGGGCAAGAATTGCAGCTCACCAACAGCCTGTGCTCACGCAACCCATGGATTTTTGCTGGGGATCCCACTTGCTGGGGCTGCCAGGATGCAGCGAATTATACACTTCCACACATTGTCCACTTCGTCACCATTCTCCTCCTCCTCTTCCATCCTCCTCCTCCACCACACCCTCTTCCTCCTACACCAAAGATCACGGGGTCGACGTCTGGCGCGGCGCCAGCGGCTTGCCGGGTCGGAGCTGTCACTGCCCGGGTTTGGCCAGCCGTGGCAGCACCGTGCGTGGGCAGTCCACCGGTCCCTCGAGTCACGCCACGCGAAAACCTCTCGCGGCGAGGAAACCTGGCGGGCATAGAGCAGTGCACACCAGGCACGGTGATCAAGGAACACAGCAACAAGGGTGAGGAGGAGGAGCCCAGGGAGGCGGAGGAGGAGGCGAAAGACAGGGCAACCGACGGCAACAGTTTGGCGATTTTCGAATCCTGTTGATACCACCCCTAACATCTGGTTTGTACCTTGCGTGCTCGTCTCCTGGCGGGTGCCTGCCGTGGTTCCTGTTCTGCGGGCTCATAAAAAATCGCACGCGGTACCCCCGCCGTGTTGGCGGAGTACACAGGGAGCGTGGATACACTGCGCCTGTTCTCGCGAAAGTGCATCCACCAGTAGACACGAGCGAACCAGAATCAAAACAAACATGAATCAAATCATGTGCGTAGATCAGCATCTACGTGGCTCTACGTCAGAGACCAGCATCGCGTGGACCTAAATGCGGGAAAAAAGCGGCGAAGCTGGTGCACTTAGCCATGCAGCGCGTTGTCGGAGGTGGTGCGCGCGGTCTTCACCGATATCGCGCACGCGCCGTGTCTCGAGATAAAATGCCTCACCATCCTCGTACGTGCGCGGCTTGGCTAGAATGTCTACACATACTCCCGCTGGAACCTCCCAAACGCGATTGGCATCGAAAGCGACATCTGCATCCCTGCGGCTCTGTGTCGACAAACTGGCATTGCAATCAAACATGTCTCAAACAACGCGACCACGATCAGGCAGGCATCGCCCATCATCGACGAAGTTGCCATCTCCTTGAATGCAGAGGCTGTCCCCGGCACAGATCACAGGCTCGTCCTGTAAAGAAACAGACTCCTCTGGTGTCAACGCGAACGACAAGAAGGACACCTCGCAGGGACCCCGCTTGATCGTCTGTGCCTTGACCCACATTCCAAGAGGGGCGAGCACCTCATTGAAATCAGCAAGCCACTTCTTAAGACCTCGCTGGTAGGGCGTCCGCTGCTGCTGAAGTCTGGGGATGAAGAAAATCGGCCACACCACCAAAAGCGTAACCGTAGGGGTCGCGACAATAACAAGGCACCAGAGCGCGAAGTTCCATCCTGTCCACAGCCACATGCTTGGATGACGCCACGCCTCTGTATTGACCTCCTTCAACTTCTGCAGCCACCCCTGCCACACCGATTCGTCCAGGCCTCTGCAAGCCAATTCATTAGGCATAGCTTGACCAGCAAGCCCGGGGGGCATGGCCGGGAGATTGCGCCAGGCCTCCACCCTAGATGACCAGAAATACACCAAGCGCTGCCCCAGCTTCGGCCTGATCAAGCGCGCGTCCTGGGCACCACCCGCGCACTGCTTCTTGATGTGCACGTTGAAGACCGAAAGCATGCTGGGGGCATAGATGTAGAATATATACATGGAGGAGAACAGCAAGAAGCACACCACGATGTAATCCTCACACGGCAAGAGCTTCCCGAAGTGCTGGCCCCACGCTCCGAGATGTCGGACGACGATGGTGAGTATGATCATCGCAGCACACGTTGCGCTGAGATGTGCTCGCTGCAGAATTTGTGGCTTGGCCCATGCTGGGGACAGAAGCACGGGCCTCACCATGAAGAACATGCCTCCGAGTTGACATCCGCTGAACAGCGTTGTTCCAATCTGCAGACCAGCAACGAAACCCTGGCAGTTAGACACTTCCTGGAAGGACCCGTCTGCATTTAAGATGGCTTCGCACAACCTCACTCTCGACGTCTCGGTGAGGACAACGAAAGAAAGAGAGCTGACACCACAGACCGCGAGCGGCAGGAGGTAGCCATAGCGCAGCGCCTGCGCTTTCGTCAGGGACCCCTGCATCGGGATGAGCACTCTGGCTATGATGATGGCTCCCGGCACGCACACCATTACAAAGCCTACGCAGAAGCCCAAGGCGGCGCCAGGTTCGACACCCAAGAGCATCAAGCTGCTCACAGATCCGATCACTCCTAAAAGGAAAGCCGACGCAAAACCCAAGGCTATCTTGAATTCCGATTCCCTCCTCTCCCTCAACACGGCGGAGTCGACACGAGTAAATCCACCAGCTTCTTTGATCTCTGCCTGGAGGCGCTGCTGGTCATCCTCGTTCGAGCATCTGGCCATCTCTGAGGTGCAAGCACCACACGCGATCAACGTCTTTGCAATGTCAACACGTATGCCGACCTTGACGGCTGCGAAGAATATTTCATAGACGCACCAAAGCCTGTTGTACATGTCCGCCTGCCGTGTTGGTACGACGACCATCCCCCTAGGTGACGGTCCCAAGACCTGCAGAGTTTTCGCGACGGCGGCTGCCAAGGCGAAAAGAAGGCCCACAACTTGGAGAGGCCACGCGTATTCCGGGCACGGCTCTGCCACATACGTCCCACAGATTTCAGCGTCAGCTGCGGCCGAATACTTACACATTCTTGCTGGATCTGCAGTGTGATCCACGAAGTGACCAGCGTAGTGACCATTATGCTTGATGCCGTCGATGCTGAGAAGTATTCCATGGCATTGCCCATCCAGCTTAGGAAGTCGGGAGAACCAAAGCGGATAGGCGAACAAGAGCAACCAAGAAATCAAGAAACATGCAGTGGGGAGCCACTGTAAGACGTCAACATGCCTGGATAGTGGGTCAGACTGCTGGTCTAGGCGCTTCACATTGGAGAGAACACGACCGAATGGGGTCTCGGAGGGGACCGTCCCGATTTGTTCTTGAATACTGGGGCCAGCCCCGTCCTCACACTGATAGATGGAAAATGCGCAAATGAAGAGCACGTCACCAACACGAGTGGAGCCGATCACCTGTGCCAGAAACTCCTCGACATTCTCGGCCCAGCAGTGGGAGACCATCTTGTTCACCTCCAAGGGCTTTTCGCGGTTTATCAACAGCGCGAGGCCCATACCGGACCCCATGGTACGAGGCTTCACGTAATCGTTCACAAAGGTGTACATGGTCGTGTCTGGATCCCAATGAGGGTCCATACGAATTTGCATAAGCAACTCCTCACACTGCTCCCTGCTCATGCCCCAATGTTCACCGAATCGGTCGACCCCTTTGCCATCCTTCTGCGGCTTACCGTGAACCCCCTTCGGTACCACCGCCGAGCTCTCTAAATCGCTGGGAACAATGCGGGTCGTCCTGCTCCACCTAAACCACATCAAGCCAAGGCAAGCAACCGTGGTCAGCGCTGACGGGGGATGCCGAGACGCCCAGCTTGAGCCAAAATGGCTACCGGCAGTATGCAATGCGAGTTTGGGCGCCGAGTGTGAGGGGCGGCCGTGCGCCCCGAAATGGCTGCTGGCTAGAGAGGCACGATCGCTGCCCCACAGACATACACAACTGTGCAGCACCGCCTGGGGGCGGCCACCCCTCACGAAGTGCTCTTTCATGAGGTGGAAGAGCTTGTGGGCGGTGGCGACGCGGAAGAGGATGAGGATAAGGAGGAGGCCTGCCTCCTCCTTGGTATCTGCCAGTGTGCAGATACAGCCCCCGTAATCATCAAAGCAGAAACCCAAAATTCCGAACCACCGTGCCCTAGTCCCAATTGGTGTCTCGCGGGGCGGGGGTCCTGCGTGGACCGGCTGCGCGACTGGCCAGCCACCATATAGATTACGAAATGGTGGTCTGGCGTGCTCGGGTAGAGCTCTCACTGCGCAGGCAGACAGCAGCAAGCACCATCAGGTCGAACCGCCAAACCATTCATTCCAAGGCGCGCCGAGGAGGGAATTGCGCTTGCGCTTCGCTTGTAGTGGTGGTGGCCGACGGGGGCAGGGAGAGGGGGGCAGGCCTTCTCGGACGGCGGCGCAGCCTCCGAGCAGCCCTCCGGCCTTCCAAGGGAGCCTTCCCTGTGGCCTCGGGGAAGGCCCAGAAAAAGCCCCTCGGAGAGCCAGAAGGCCAGCCCCACCCCCCTGTCTTCCCTGGTGAGAGAGAAGCGCGCCGCCGGGCCTCGTCGTCCATCCAGCAGCCCTCGAAGTGGTGCTCCCGGCAGTTGGACCTCACCAGCAGGGACAGCGCGTCCGGGTGGGCGGGCACAAACGACTCGTAGGCGCTGATGTTCAGACCTCGGGGGCGGGTCAGCTGCGACCACGGCGCCTCTCCAGCCCGGCCCGAGTCCGCTCCGCATCTCTCCCCGGACCCCTCCCGGGGTCCATCCTGCCCCGCTCTTCGGATCCAGCCGTGGCGGCACGAGAAGCCTCCAGGAGGCCCAGAAAAGGCCTGGACGCAGGGAGGGCGGGCGCCGCCGCTGCGTCGAGTGGGCCCTCCGTCCCCGACGACCGTCCCCGACGATCAGCGCCGCGTGGGGCTGCCCGCCGCTGAACACCCAGACGTCGCCGGGTCGGATGAGGGCGACCGTCTTCGCCCTCCGCAGCAGGGCCACGTCCCGCGCGCTCAGGGGCACGCGCGGAGGAAGAAGCAGCGGCACGGGCACACGATCTCTCGGAGCTCTGCGCGGACTCTTCTGGGGGTCGGCGCAGGACGCCCCTCTGCTGCAGCCCGGGCGCCCCACAAAGCGGTGCGGTGGCAGCCTGTGCGGTGCCCTCGGACCCCCCCCCTGAGAGAACCTCACCGCACGGCCCGTCACCGCAGCATGCTGTGCTGGCACCTCGGAGGCCCCGGTCGCCCGAGACGTCCTCGGAAAACGACCCAGCGGTCACAGAAAACCGCACGGCCACCTGGAATGCACACTGTGACTCACCACACGGCGCGTGGCCACCGCACCGTTCGGGGGCCCCCGATCTGGCGCGCCTCCACGGGGGGTGGGGCCCAGCGTCGCTCCGGGAATCTCTGCGCGGAGCTCCGAAAGCTTGCGCACGTGCAGCTGTTTGTCCCTCGGCATGTGGAAGACCGTGCCCTTCCCGGCCTCCTCCAGGATCGCGTGCCGCTCGGACCAGGGCCACAGGGCGAACAGCTTGTACCCGCACCAGTTCCTGCCCACGTTGGACCACAGGCACTGGTCCACGTGCATCCCCGAGCCCGCCCCGCGCTCACCCACGAAAATACCGCCCTCGGACCGCTCCCATAACGGCATGTGCCTGGCGAAAGGGGTGGTGTCGTAGATGTCGCACCTCTAAGAAACATTATGTAGCACCCCGCAGCTGCGCAAGAGAGTGGGGGGTAGGGGGGGGGGCGGGCGCGGGATGGGTCGCGGGTGGGTCGCAGGTGTGTCGCGGAATGCGTCGCGGGTGGGTGGCGGGTGGGTGGCGGGTGGGTCGCGGGTGGTCGCGGGTGAGTCGCGGGTGGCTCGCGGGTGGGTGGCGGATGGGTCGCGGGTGGGTTGCGGGTGGGTCGCGGTTGGGTCGCGGGTGGGTCGCGGGTGGGTGGCGGGCGGGTCGCGAGTGTGTCGCTGGCCGGGTCGCGAGTGGGACGGCGAATTCAATAACAAGCATTGCAAGACTGCTCGCTCCCTCCTGCTCCAATGCCACTCAACTTGTATATCCCGAACGCTCGACACCCGCCCTCTTCATCTTCGATCGTACCCCTTTGGGGATATGCCTTCCTTACCTGCCGCGTGTAATTGGCTCAGCCCCCCAAAGAAGGGGAAGAGAGGACAGACGGAAGGGGAAGGGATAAGGATGGAGCACGAGAGAAATCAACAGGGGGGCTCGGAGCAGAGAACACTTGGCAGAACCAGACGGGCAGATCGGCCGGGCAGACCCTGGCGGGCGGGTCGGGACTGCGGGCCCAGGCGGCCAAGTCGAGCAGGCAGTTGCTGAAGTGTGCGTCCTGCATTAATCGCGAGGACGTCTCGAACGATAGCGCGATTCCCAAGCAAATCGTGAGACATGCCAGAGCGAGAGCGTAATTCCTGAGCGTCGAAGCGCAGCGTCTGAATAAATTGCGAGCGAGTCCCACGCAAGAACGCGATTCCTGCATACATTGTGAGGACGTCCCGCACGAGAGCACGATTTCGGAGTACATTGTGAGGTCGTGTCAGGCGGGAGCCGTTTTTGTTGTAGCGGGACAACGCAGTTTGAGCAGGGAGACTTTCTCCCATAAAAACAGGGTGCGAGCCTCGAGGGGGGCACTTCAATTGGAAAACACAACGTACACCAGTTGGGGGATATCAGCAATACTCATTCTTCAAGAATGGGTTCACCAAGGACAACAACAACATTAATACCAACAAAAACAACAACCACAACAACAGCAACAACAGCAACCATAACAACAGCAACAACAATAACAACAGCAACACCCACACCAACACAACAACAACAGCAGCAGCAACAACAACAACAACAATAACAATCATTTAAGACTGGGGACACTCCGTTCTCACCAGCGCCAGGGTTTTCATAGGAGGCGGGCAATACCCCCACTTTGTGGGGGGGCCGGTTCAAGCTCTACCAAGTTTCCAAACGACTCTTCGCCACCACCCACACCCAGCTTCCCGCCCTATGACGTTCGGACACTTCACTTCGTGGCCTGCGGACGACCTTGGCTACTACACTGGCGCATGGGTACAGTGACTTGTTGTGGTAACATTTTGTGGAAGCTAGCTTAGTATACGACTTTTCCCCCTGTTCCAACACTGGTACCATGCCGACAACGACGACGCGACGACGCGCGCATGTGTCCCGCATGATAATTTTTGCAAGGGATTGTGGCCCCTGGCAGGCGCGCGAACGCCGTTGAAAGAGCTTGCGAAAACAGCTCGCGCGAGCTCTATAACATAAATGTTGAAAAACCATTGGTTTTTAAGGATTCGGACAGCGCGCGCGGGTAGAAATTTTGAAAATTCGTACAGATGTTTTTCGAGAACCTACGGTGCGATTCGTATGATTTTATGTTGCGCGGTGCTAAAATTCCTAAGAAACCCAATGATTTTTGAAGATTTCGGCGTGCGCGCGCGAAGAAAAAACGAATGTGTCCCACATGGTATTATTTGACAGGGATGATGGCCCTGGCAGGCGCGCAACCTTTGTTGCAGAAGTTCGAAGCACGTGAAAAAATTGCTCGCAAGAGCCCGTTTGACAGAAATGTTGAAAAAGTATTGGGTTTCCTAAGAAATCCGCAAGAGCGCGCGGGGTGAATTTTTGAAACCTTTTTTTTTTGAAAAACCATTGGGTTTTTCATGTTTTTATGTGAAAATCGCTACGAAGACTAAGGTTTTGGAAGGATTTCGTCTTGCGCGTGCGAATGTGCACTTCGTGTCATGTTTTGCAAGGGATTCTTGAAGTTTGGTCATGTTAGAACAAGAAATGTCCACTTTGCCTTATTTTTTGCAAGGGAAAACCGATCGTAACAACACAACCGGATCTGGTATACCCCGTTTTGCCTGAGATTTCCTAACGAAAATGATGAAAATGTGGCTGCGGCCTAGGCGCGGCGGGGGGGGCGCGCACCAGGGGTCCCAACAATAATTATTCTTTAGAATTAATAATGTTCAACTACAACACATAGCAACAACATCAGCAACAACAGCAACGACAGCAGCAACACCAATCAAATTCAGACTGTTCGCTCTTACCTGCTCGCATGCCATCCGACACGTATCTCCCAACCCTCGGTACCCGCCCTCTTCGTCTTCGATCGTACCCCCCTGGGGATATAGCTTCATTACATGCCGTGTAGAATTAGTGCAGCCCCTGAAACATGGGAAGAGAGGACGGATGGAAGGGGGAGGGAAAAGGATGGAGCACGGGATTAGCAGGAGGGGGGCTAAGAACAGAAAACACATGCCAGAACCAAACGGGCCCATCGGGCGGGTAGACCCTAAGGGGCGGGTCGGGAAGGCGGGCCCAAGCGGCCAGGTCGAAGGCGGGTTGCTGAAGCGTGCGTCCTGCATGAATCGCGAGGAAGTCTCGAACGGCAGCGCGATTCCCAAGTAAATCGTGAGAAAGGCCAAAGCGAGAGCTTGATTCCTGAATCCCGAAGGCGCGGCGTCTGAATCAATTGCGAGCAAGTCCCACACGAGAGCGCGATTCCTATATACATTGTGAGTTTGTCCCGCGCGAGAGCGCGCTGTAGGAATACACTGTGAGGTAGTGTCGGGCTGGAGCCGCTGTTGTTGCAGCTCGGGACCCAGCAGCGCAGCTTCGTGACACCCAACTTCCCAGAACAAAAAAAGGGATGCGAGCCCCGAGGGGGGCAGTTCAATTGAAAAATACAAGATGGTTACCGGAGGCGGGGGATCAACACTGATTCTTCCTCAGAAATGCGAACTCAACATCAACATCAACAACAACTGCAGCAACAACATTCATGTTGAGACTGGTCGCCCTTATCTGCTCGCGTGCCACTCCGCACGTATCGGAGTTTGGGGGGTGAGATCGCAGTGGAACGGAGACCCCCAACCAGGAAAGCGTTTCGTTTCGTTCATGTCGTGCGTGCGGGCGAGGCGAAGCTGCGTGGGCACGCGAGAGACATGAACCCGCCGTTGCGTCCGTCCGGCGGTGGCCCGCGGTGGCCCGTGGTGTCCCGTGGTGTCCCGTGGTGTCCCGCCGTTGCTAGGGCGAAGTCAAGACAAATGATGCTCCTCCGCCTTCCGTCCGTCCGGCGGTGGCCGGCGGTGGCCCGCGGTGTGCCGTGGTGTCCCGTTGAGTGAGATCGATAGTGAGACCGATTTTGAGATCGATGTGGTGTCCCGAGGTGTCCCGTGGTGTCCCGTTTAGTGAGATCGATAGTGAGATCGATCGGAGGTGAGGGGGTGAGATCGAAGTGGAACGGAGAGCCCCCCTACCGGGAAATCGATTTCGGTTTCGTGTTCGTGCGTGCCGTGCGCGCGGGCGAGGCGAAGCTGCGTGGGCGGGCGAGAGGAACGTCTCCTGTGGCTGAGGCGCGGCCGGACCAAATGTGTCTCTTCCAGGCGGCCGGTGGCGCGCGGTGTCCCGCCGGTGTCCCGCTGGTGTCCCGTCGGTGTCCCTGTGGCTGAGGCGCGGCCGGACCAAATGTGTCTCTTCCGGGCGGCCGGTGGCGCGCGGTGTCCCGCCGGTGTCCCGCTGGTGTCCCGTCGGTGTCCCTGTGGCTGAGGCGCGGCCGGACCAAATGTGTCTCTTCCGGGCGGCCGGTGGCGCGCGGTGTCCCGCCGGTGTCCCGCTGGTGTCCCGTCGGTGTCCCGTCGGTGTCCCGATGATGATGTGGATGATTATGATGATGATGCTGATGGTGATGATGATGATGATGATGATGATGATGATGATGATGGTGATGATGGCAATGATGATGATGATGATGATGATGATGATGATGTTGATGATGATGATGATGTTGGTGTTGTTGTTGATGATGATGACGTCGATTGTGAGATCGATTGTGACATCGATAGTGAGACCGAATGTGAGATCGATTGTGAGATAGATTGTGAGATCGATTGTGAGATCGATAGTCAGGTCGATTGTGAATTGATGGTAATGATGATTATGATGATGATGGTGCCGAGTGAAAATTGCCGGGTGAAAATCGATAATGAGATCGATTGTGAGATCGATAATGAGACCGAATGTGAAACCGAATGTGAGATCGATTGTGAGATCGATTGTGAGATCGATAGTGAGATCGATAGTGAGACCGAATGTGAGACCGAATGTGAGATCGACAGTGAGATCGATTGTGAGATCGATAGTGAGATCGACAGTGAGACCGAATGTGAGACCGAATGTGAGATCGATTGTGAGATCGATTGTGAGATCGATAGTGAGATCGATAGCGAGATCGATAGTGATATCGATAGTGAGATCGAATGTGAGATCGATTGTGAGATCGATAGCGAGATCGATTGAGTGAGACGTTGGTTCCCCCTCCACCCTCACCTCCTTATCACCCGCAGGGTGGTCGTATAGGTAGTGAGACCGATAGTGAGATCGAGAGGTGTCCCACGGTGTCCCGTTGAATGAGATCGATAGTGAGATCGATAGTGAGATCGACAAGTGTCCCGTGGTGTCCCGTTGAATGAGATCGATAGTGAGATCGATTGAGTCTGATGTTGGTTCCCCCCCCCCTCCCACAACCTCCTTTTCACCCGAAGGGTGGTCGTACAGCAGGTCGGAGGTTGGGGGGTGAGATCGCAGTGAAACGGAGACCCCCCACCAGGAAATCAGTTTCGGTTTTGTGTTCGTGTCGTGCGTGCGGGCGAGGCGAAGCTGCGCGTGATCCTCCTGTAGCTAGGCCGAAGAAGGAGCAAAAATCCGTTCCCGTCCGCCGGTGGCTGGGAGGTGTCCCAGTTGGGCCGGGCGGTGCCCTGGGTGTCCCGGGTGTTAGTAGGAACGAAAGTCCGTTTCTCGTCCGCCTGTGGCCGGGAGGTGTCCCAGTTGGGCTGGGCGGTGTCCCGGGTGTCCTGGGTGTACCGTGGTGTCCCATGGTGTCCCGTTGAGTGAGATCGATAGTGAGATCGATAGTGAGATCGATGTGGTGCCCCGAGGTGTCCAGTGGTGTCCTGTGCTGTCCCCATAAAGTGAGATCGATAGTGAGATCGACAGGTGTCCCGTGGTGTCCCGTGGTGTCCCGTTGAGTGAGATCGATAGTGAGATCGATAGTGAGATCGATACTGAGATCGATGTCGTGCCCCGAGGCGTCCCGTGGTGTCCGAGAAAATGCGATCGATAGTGACATCGATAAGTGTTCCGTGGTGTCCCGATGACTTAGATCGATAGTGAGATCGATAGTGAGATCGATGTGGTGCCCCGAGGTGTCCCGTGGTGTCCTATGGTGTCCCGTTGAGTGAGATCGATATTCAGATCGATAGTGAGACGGATAGTGAGATCGAGAAGTATCCCGCGGTATCCTGTGTTGTCCCGTGGTGGCCCGTAGTGTCCCGTGGTGTCCCGTTGAGAGAGATCGATAGTGAGATCGCTAGTGAGATCGACAAGTGTCCCGTGGTGTCTCGTGGTGTCCCGTGGTCTCCCGTTGAGTGAGATTGATAGTGAGATCGATTGAATCAGATGTTGGTTCCCCCCCCCTTCTCTCCCCCCACAACCTCCTTATCACCCGAAGGGTGGTCGCATAGGTACCCCAAACTCTCGATCCCCGCCCTCTTCGTCTTCAATCGTCCCCACTTAGGGTTATCTGAGGTTGGGGGGTGATGTCGCACAGGAACGGAGACCCCCAAACGGGAAAGCGTTTCGTTTCGTTCGCGTCGTGCGTGCGGGCGAGGCGAAGCTGCCTGGGCGCGCGAGCGGAATGACTCCGCCGTTACTAGGGCGAAACCAAAACAAATGATTATCCCCCGTCCGTCCGTCCGTCCAGCGGTGGCCCTAACGGTGTCCCGCGGTGTCCCGTGGTGTCCCATGGTGTCCGCCGTTGCTAGGGCGAAATCAAGACAAATGATTCTCCCCCGTGCGTCCGTCCGTCCGGCGGTGGCCCTAACGGTGTCCCGCGGTGTCCCGTGGTGTCCCGTGGTGTCCCGTGGTGTCCCATGGTGTCCCGCCGTTGCTAGGGCGAAGTCAAAACAATTGATTATCCCCCTCCCGCCCGTCCGGCGGTGGCTCGCGGTGTCCCGCAGTATCCCGTGGTGTCCCGCGGTGTCCCGTGGTGTCCAGTGGTGTCCCGTTGAGTGAGATCGATAGTGAGATCGATAGTGAGATCGATAGTGAGATCGATGTGGTGCCCCGAGGTGTCCCTTGGTGTCCAAAAAATTGTGATCGATAGTGAGATCGACAAGTACCCCGTGGTGTCCCGTGGTGTCCCGTTGAGTGAGATCGACAGTGAGATCGATAGTGAGAGCGGTACTGAGATCGTTGTGGTGCCCCGAGGTGTCCCGAGGTGTCCCGTGGTGTCCTATGGTGTCCCGTTGAGTGAGATCGATATTCAGATCGATAGTGAGACCGATAGTGAGATCCAGAGATGTCCCGAAGTGTCCCGTGGTGTCCCGTGGTGGCCCGTGGTGTCCCGTGGTGCCCCGTGGAATGAAATCGATAGTGAGATCGATAGTGAGATCGACAAGTGTCCCGTGGTGTCCCGTTGAGTGAGATCGATAGTGAGATCGATTGAATCAGATGTTGGTTCACCCCCCTCTCCCCCCCACAACCTCCTTATCGCCCGAAGGGTGGTCGTATAGGTATATTTTTTAATTGGAACGTGTATAAGTGGCGCCGCCCCTGAAACAGGGGAAGCGAGGACGGATGGAAAGAAGGAACATGGGGCAGGCGGGTTTTTGAAGCGTGCGTCCTGCATGAATGGTGAATACAGCTCGAGCGATAACGCGAGTCCCAAGTAAATCGTGAGGCAGTCCACAGCGAGAGCGTGATTCCTGAACGTCGAGGACGCGGCGTCTGAATAAATTGTGAGGAGAGGGAATCCCCCGCGAGAGCGCGATGCCTGTATAAAGTATAAGGAAATCGCGCGCGAGAGCGCGATTTGGGACTAAATCGTAAGGAAATATCAGGCGGGAACAATTGTTGTTACAACACAATTTGGTGACACCTCACGTTCCCTTGTAAAAAAACAGGGTGGGAATCCCAAGAAAAACATTTCAGTTGAAAGATGAAACGGTTACCGGAGGGGGGCTCAACAATACATATGTCTATGAATGAGAACTCAACACCACCAACAACAACAATATCAACAGCAATAACAACACCAATCATTTTAAGACGGTTCGTTCCTGTCTGCTCGCGTGCCATCCAACACGTATATCCCAAACCCTCGGTACCCGCCCTCTGTGTCTTCGATCGTGCTTGGGGGGGACATCTTGCTTACCTGCCACGTGCATTTAGCGCAGCCCCTGAAATAGGGAAAGAGTAGATGGATGGAAGGGGAAGGGAGAAGAATGGAGCACAAGAGAGATTAGCAGGAGGGGGGCTAGGAACAGAAAGCCCGTGGCAGAACCAGACGGGCAGATCGGGCGGGCAGACCCCAGCTGGAGGGTCGGGACTGCGGGCCCAGTCGGCCAGGTCCAGCGGGCGGGATGCTGAAGCGTGAGTCCTGCATGCATCGCGAGGACGTCTCGAGCGACAGCGCGCTTCTCAAGTAAATCGTGAGAAAGGCCGAAGCGAGAGCGTGATTGCTGAGTGTCGAGGGCGCGGCAGCTGAATAAACTGCGATGATGTCCCACGCGAGAGGGCGATGATGAAATAACTTGTGAGGAAGTATCAGGCGGATGGAAGTTGTTGTTGTAGTTCTGGGCCCAGATACGCAGTTTGAGCAGGAATGCTTCCGCTGATAGAAAACAGAGTGCGAGCCCCGAGGGGGGCATTTCAATTGAAAAACATATCGTGCACCAGTGAGGGGGATCAGCAATCATCACGACTCAAGAACAAGAGTTCACTAACAACAGCAACAACAACAACAACAACAACAACAATGCAACACCAATCCGCACCGCGGAACCCCACTTCTGCCACGCACCCAGGGACAGTGAATGACCGTTCAGCCCCCAAACTCAGATATTCAAAAGAAAAGCAAGTTCCGATACCGCTACTCTTCCCTCGTCACTGCGGCTAGATTCGCCTCGAGATTCTTGTGAGAACGCACCCCAGGAGAGGTCTGGGGAGTAGCGGCATCGGTATCTTCCTCCCCAGAGTCGGCATGAACATGTGCTTTCGAAGTCCGCGCTGATCTCTCGGATCAGCGCCAGGAGCCCCCTGGCGGCGCCTCTGGCGCCGCCCCTGGCGCCACGGCGCCGATCCGAGGAATCCGCCCAGAGTTCCGACAACGTATGTCTACTATTTTGTTCTTCTCCGAGATGTCGCACGTCGTGGCCGTCTTCACCATCTCCCCCGACACGATTGGGTGCTGGACCTTCAGGAGGCAGCTCTCGGAGGCTCTTCATAACAATCAACAGAACTACGTGCAGGGGCTAGACGTCCGGCAGGGCCACGAAGCCGGCCTGGCCCCGATGCAACCCGAGATGAAGCCAGACTGCGCCGGCTCAGGCGAGGCTCAAAAGGGATTGGGCCGACTTCCGACCACGTATAGACCAGCGCCGAAGCTGAACCTCCCAAGGCCCAGACATGCGATGTCCTGTTTTTGTTCCATACACGGAGTCCCTGGGGACCCCGCACACTTCCCCTGGGTGGGCTTTTCAGCCCGAGTCGCTTTCTGACGCTCCCGCGTCGTGCTTCTTGTGACGGCGCAGGCATGTCCGGTTTTACCAAGGCTGCGTGCCCGGGGGGGAAGTGAGAAGGGGCGGGCCTTCTTAGGCTCGGAAACCCCCTGGGCCTCTTCAGAGTTCTCCGAGCCTTCCCCAAATACACAAGAACCTTCTGAGGAGGCGCGAGGGTTTTCGAGAAGTCCCGCCGCCCTCTGAGAAGGCCTTCTCCTTCTCACTTCCCCCCCAAGCGCGCCGCCGAGTTTGGTTTTTGGGTCGTGACTCGGCTCTCGGGTGGCCGCCCGGGACGATCCGGGCACTCCCGGAACGCTCTCGGCGAGGCGCAGCTGCTGGAACGCGCCCCGAGGCTGGAAAACCACTGAGAACCGACGAGAACGCCCGAAAACCCCTTGCTTCAACGGGCGAAGAACGGTATGACATAAACTTGTTCGCTGTCGGGGGTGCCTGCCCCAGGGTGGCCAGAAAGCTTGTACCCTGACGGCGGCACGTCAAGGTATAAAGTTTCCAGCCGCCCTGGGGCAGCGCCCCCGGTGACGGAACAAAAATATGTTATACCGTTCTTCGCCCGCTAATTTTGAGCAGGACCCGACCGTCCCGGCATTTCTATAGGCCTACCACGAAATGTGCTTAGAACCCACACATGTTCCAATAACACACACACACAATGTTTTTAGAACATAACACCAATGCGTTAGAACAAGACAGCCCCAGCCAGAAATGCTCTAAGGACACTTCGTGGAAAGCACATAAAAAAGGTTCTTAGAACATTGCTTCGCAGGCCTATAGAACGCCAGGACGCTTCGCCACTGCTTGATAACTGCTGGTTGCGCCTCGCTCGCCGCCGATGCTCCTCCCGAGTGCTGCGCCCCGGCCTTCTTCTGCCACCGCAACTCCGAGAGGTACAGCGGCGCGCCCGGGGGCACCTCGCCGGCGCGCTCCTGCGCGCGGAAGCGCCCGACGGTCTCCGTCAGCGTCCGCTTGCCGCCGCTGCCGCGCCGCTTGATCTCCGTCTCTCTGCCCGTGCGCCCATAGTGCCTGCCGGCAATCCCAGACCCCCTCGAGCAATGGAGAAATCATGACGGGAGGTTTTCGCCATTTTCGGCCTCTGGGGGCCCTTCCCGGGCCTCGGGACCGTCAAAACACGACTCAGGATGAAAAACCGGTCCCGGGGAATAAGTCGAAACCTCTGGGGGTCGGCGTCATGAACAAAAACATGATGTCGGGGGTCTGGGATAGAAGAAGACAGAACGAAGACAGAACTCCAGAAACGTAACTCAAACTTGTGGCGCTCCGCGCGGATCTCTTAGATCTGCGCTGAATCCCCCTCGCTGGCGCGGCTGGAGCGCGCCGCTGGGGGGGGCCAGGCGCCGATCCAAGAGATCCGCGCGGGGCGCCAACCGTTTATGTTTATGGCGTTTTCTCTTCTTCGAAGCGAGCAAATTCAAGTTGGCGATTTCGGAAACCCTGAACCCAAAAACGTGTTCATCTCTTGGGGGCGCAGCGATTGCTTCCGCCGACCTTCCGCCGCGCTTCTACCGCGGAAGAGATGACAACTCCTTCGATCCTCGAAGGCAAGGCCCTGTTTGGAACGCCCCGAGTGGCTGAGCACGACAAGCACAACAACACATAGCCACTTTCGCGTGAAATCGCAACGCGTGCTGCCTGCGACCCGCCACGCCGTGGCCAAAGAAACGGTCTCCTTCCAAAGCGCCGGAAAGGCCTCCACCAATACTCCTCAAAGCCAAATCTCGGAATGCACGTTTCTGTTAAAATCCGGTATGTTTTTCCTCGATGTTGGCCCCTGCAGCCCAATATCGGGGCCGAGGGTCAGCAGATATTATGGACCCGGGACTTTGTGTGGGGGCCCGCGTGGGAACAAACAGATCGGCGAATTTCTGGGGACCCCTCCTGGGGTGCACTCTGGCCAGGACCTTCGAAGCGAATCAGGCCGAGCCGACGAGGGAAGGCTCCGGCATGCCCAGGTGGTCCTGGCTGGCCTCCGCAGGCCCCCGAGCAGTCTGGGGCGGCGTCCGCGCCCCAGCCCTGGGGCGCGGAGCCCCCCCGGGGGCGTCGCCCCGGTGTCGAGGCCGCTGCCGAGAGGCCAGCCGGGAAACTCGCCGTCGCTCGGACGTCCATTTTTCCCGTGCACTTGTTCGATGTCGTGCGTGTTTTTTTTGTTGTTGCTCGATGGTCCAGGATGGTCCTCGATCCTCGATGGTTCTCGCCGAGAAGGAACGCACACGTCCGAGCGATGCCGAGACACCCAGGCGGCCCAGAGCGGCGAGGACGAGGCCAGGGAAGCGGTGCGTCCCTTTCCGTCCTCGGCGTGCCAGAGTCGCCCGCGGAAGAGGTCCGTGGCCTCGGCGCCCAGCGAGCTCAGGAAGCCGCGCATGTCGCGCGACCTCGCCGCGGCGACGCGAGCCAGCTCCGGCAGGCCGCCGGCCTGGCCCAGGAGGCGGACGCCGTCGGGGAGCACGACCACGCGCTCCAAGTGCGGCGTCCAGAGCAAGGCCTCCATGAACGCGTCCACCGTGTGGACGACCTCGACGGTGACGACGACGATGGGGATGATGACGATGAGGATGAGGAAAATGATGAGGAAAACAAATTGTGAAAATGCTAATGATGATGATGATGATGATGATGATGATGATGATGATGATGATGATGATGATGATGATGATGATGATGATGATGATGATGATGGTGTTGGTGATGGTGGCGATGATGATGATGGTTGTGGTGATGGTGATGGTGATGAAGAGGATGCTGATGAGGATGATGCTGCTGCTGATGATGATGCTTACTAGGATGATGATGTTGATGATGATGATGATGATGATGATGATGGTACTGCTGCTGATGATGCTGATGATGACAATGCTGATGCTGATGCCGCTGCTGATGATGCTGATGATGATCGTGCTGGGGATGCGGCTCATGATGCTGATGCTGATGCTGACGATGCTGATGCTGACGTTGCTGATGACTTTGATGGCAATGGTGATGATGGGGAGGAAGAGGCGGATGATAATGGTGATGCTGCTGAGGATGAGGATGTTTCCGATGCTGCTGCTTATGAACATGAGCACGATGATGGGAGGGTGTTGACGATGATCCGGCTGCTGCGGATTGTGATGATGAGGACGACGACGATGACACTGGTGATGATGACGATGACTACTACTGTTGATGATGCTGATGTTAATGACCAGGATGATGATGGTGGTGGGGATGCGGCTTATGATGATGCTGATGATAATGATGATGATGTTGCTGATGATGGTGATGGCAATAGTGATGATGAGGAGGAGGAAGCGGAAGTGAATGATGATGCTGATGAGGATGATAAGGTTGCCGGTGCTGCTGCTGATGGAGAAGATCGTGATGATGGTGCTGATGATGACGATGATATGGCTGTTGCGGGTTGCGATGATGATGGTGGTGGTGATGGTGGCGATGATGATGATGATGGTTGTGGTGATGGTGACGGTGATGGTGAGGGTGATGAAGAGGATGCTGATGAGGATGATGCTGCTGCTGATGATGATGGTACTGCTGCTGATGATGATGCTGATGATGACAATGCTGATGCTGATGCCGCTGCTGATGATGATGATGATGATGATGATGATGGTGCTGGGGATGCGGCTCATGATGCTGATGCTGATGCTGACGATGCTGATGCTGACGTTGCTGATGACTTCGATGGCAATGGTGATTATGGGGAGGAAGAGGCGGATGATAATGGTGATGCTGCTGAGGATGAGGATGTTTCCGATGCTGCTGCTTATGAAAATGAGCACGATGATGGGAGGGTGTTGACGATGATACGGCTGCTGCGGGTTGTGATGATGAGGACGACGACGATGACACTGGTGATGATGACGATGACTACTACTGTTGATGATGCTATTGTTAATGACCAGGATGATGATGGTGGTGGGAATGCGGCTTATGATGATGCTGATGATAATGATGTTGCTGATGATGGTGATGGCAATGGTGATGATGAGGAGGAAGCGGAAGTGAATGATGATGCTGATGAGGATGATAAGGTTGCCAGTGCTGCTTCTGATGGAGATGATCGTGATGATGGTGCTGACGTTGACGATGGTATGGCTGTTGCGGGTTGTGATGATAATGGTGGTGGTGATGTTGGTGATAATGATAGTGGTGCTGATGAGGATGATGCTGCTGATGATGATGATGATGATGATGGTGGTACTGCTGCTGATGATGATGCTGATGATGACAATGCTGATGCTGATGCTGCTGATGATGCTGATGATGATGGTGCTGGAGATGCGGCTCATGATGATGATGATGATGATGATGGTGATAATGCTGATGCTGATGCTGATGCTGACGTTGCTGATGATTTTGATGGCAATAGTGATGATGGGGAGGAAGAGGTTTCCGATGCTGCTGCTTATGAACATGAGCACGATGATGGGAGGGTGTTGACGATGATCCGGCTGCTGCGGATTGTGATGATGAGGACGACGACGATGACACTGGTGATGATGACGATGAATCATACTGTTGATGATGCTGCTGATAATGGCAAGGAAAATGATGGTGGTGGGGATGCGGCTTACGATGATGATGATGATGATGATGATGATGATGATGATGATGATGTTGCTGATGATGGTGATGGCAATGGTGATGATGGTGATGATGAGGAGGAGGAAGCGGAAGTGAATGATGATGCTGATGAGGATGATAAGGTTGCCGGTGCTGCTGCTGATGGAGATGATCGTGATGATGGTGCTGACGTTGACGATGGTATGGCTGTTGCGGGTTGTGATGATGATGGTGGTGGTGATGGTGGCGATGATGATGATGGTTGTGGTGATGGTGATGGTGATGGTGATGAAGAGGATGCTGATGAGGATGATGCTGCTGATGATGATGCTTACTAGGATGATGATGTTGATGATGATGATGATGCTGATGATACAGATGAACGCGCCCACCGTCTGGACGACCTCAGGCTCCTGCCCGGGGCACACAGGCCAGAGCGGCTCCCCTGCTGGCAACCACGGGGGCTGGCCGAAGTCTAGCCACTCGCCTGGGCGGCCTCCCGGCTGCGCCGCACCCCACATGGCGCCGCCGTGGCACGGCCTTCGGGCCGGGAAGCCTGTCGGTGCCCGTGACCGCGCGCTCACGCGGCGCCCTGGCCACCTGAGCCAGGCTTCGTCTGCGAGGAAACGAGGAGCAACTTGCGGTTCCTTCTCGCTTGCGGCCTCCGGGGGCCGCCGTCGTGCCATGGGGGCACCGACGGGGAAATCCCCGTCGAGAAGTGCCCCCAGGGGAAGGAGTCGGGCGGTCCGGGGGCGCGCATTGAAAACATGTATCGGCGGGCGTCTGGGAACATGACCCAGGCCTCCCGCCCGACCGTTTCCGCAAGGATGGGCACAGCTGCCGCACGAGGGGACGCAGCTCTGGAGGGGGGCGGCCCTTGTCGACCACGGCGGCCCTCCCGCCCGAGTCGATTCTGGGGACGGTCCGAACTCGAGAGCTGCGAGACATCTCAAAGGTCGCTTCCATCGGGAGACCCTGGGGAGCTGCTGGGGGGCCTACGCGGGAAGAGGGGCGGGACGGGAGGTCCTGCAGAGGCCCTCCCCATAGGAAGAAGGCGGATCAATCCCCCCGGGCGTTGGGTGGCTCGCTCGCCGAGGCCGCCGGGAGCCGCAGCGCTCAGGAACGGCACGCGAGTCCTCGCCCTTGCACGAGGGAGCGGCGGGGGGACGGGTGGAGCAGGGCGAGGAAGAGGAGGAGGAGGAGGAAAAGGAGGGGAGGAGGTGGAGCAGGGCGAGGAGGAGGAGGAGGGGGAGGAGGGGGAGGAGGGGAAGGAGGAGGAGGAGGAGGGGGAGGAGGAGGTGGGGGAGGAGGGGGAGGAGGAGGAAGAGGAGGAGGAGGAGGAGGAGGAGGAGGCGGAGGAGGAGGAGGAAAAGGTTTTTTGCCATCAACGGCTTCACCACATAAGCCAAACAAGGCGACTCCTTACAGCAACTGTGGGCCATGCTGTAAGCTACATGCACCGAGCAGCAGGTGCAAGAAATAGGGCGACCTCGCCTCGGCGAGCGCCGCTTCGGTGAGGGGGCTTCGCGAGTTCCTTTCGGAGCGCCCGCTATGGCCCCCTCCCTTCACGGATCGACCCTCGGCTCAGTCGCCAACAACAGGGCATTCGTCGGCTGCGCAAGACATAGCCACTGTTGCAAACCTTGAGAGTCACTGTCTGGCCCGCAGCCAGAGAGAGTGCAAGAGTAAAACAGAGAGCAGCCGAACAGAGATGCTGAACAATTCTCTGCAGCAGCTGCATGCGAAAGCGAAGGGTTTGCCACGGCGCGAGCGCGAGACCTGGCCCAGAGACACGACGCAGGGTGGCCCCCCACAGGCCCACTCGAACCAAGGGGAACGAGCTACACCTGGACAGGGGCCCAAGACAGACTACACAGCAGCTCTGCTGACCCTCCAAAGGAGGACCTTCCACCACACGCCTTGACGAGGGCGACTAGGTAGCATCGGCTGTGCACGACACTGCCCAGAGAGACCTGAAGGCCACCGCGGGGCGCACGGTCGGGGAGGACAAGTTGCCTCCCCCGTGCCCTGACGCGCGCTCTGGGCATAAAAGTGGCGGCCCCCTGAGCAGCGGTTACCGCAGGGGGGGGGGGGGGGGCATCGCCCCGCGGCCGTGCGACAGGGGGGCAAGGGCAGCACTAGGCAGTGCAACGGACGGCCAGCGACGCCTGCACGACGAAACTCTAAAGCCCGAGTTCCAGGGCTGGCAGCGTAACCAGCACCGCCGAGCAGGACGCCGCAAAACCCCAGATCGAACTTGCCACGTGAGCCCATCTCACGCCAAGAACCACTAGAGGCTAAACTAACAAGCACCTCGCAGGGCGAGCGGCCGGGGAGGACATCGTTGCGCGCGCTCTGGCACTGAGGGGCGGCCCCCTGAGCAGCGGTCACCGTTGAGTAGACATCGCCCCGCTGCCGTGCTACAAGGGGACGAGGGCAGCACTGGGCAGTGAAAAGAGCGGCCAGCGACGCCTGCGCGACGGAACTCCAACGCCCGAGTTCCAGGGCTGGCAGCGCAACCAGCACCGCCGAGCAGGACGCCGCAAAACCCTTGATCGAAACTGCCACGTGAGCCCAATTCACGGCAAGAAGCAAAGTAGCTAACATAACACAAGCACCTCGCAAGGCGCACGGCCAGGGAGGACAGAGCTCCTCCCCCGCGCCCTGACGCGCGCTCTGGATACTGACAAGACGGCCCCCCTAGCAGCGGCCACCGCGAGGGAGACATAACACCGCGGCCGTGCAACAGGGGGCGAGGGAAGCACTATGCAGTTACAGGGGCGGCCAGCGACGCCTGCTTCGACGGAACTCCAAGGCTCGAGTTCCAGGGCTGGCAGCACAACCAGCACCGTCGAGCAGGGCGCCGCGAAACCCCAGATCGAACCCGCAACGCGAGCCCAGCAGTCGCGGCCAAGATAACTAGTAGCTTAAACTAATTCAAGCACGTCATCG